GAGGGAGCTGGGGGGGCTCAGCCTGGAGAAAAGGAGGCTCAGGGGGGACCTTCTGGCTCTGCAATCCCTGACAGGAGGGGGGAGCCGGGGGGGGTCGGGCTCTGCTCCCAGGGAACAGGGACAGGAGGAGAGGGAACGGCCTCCAGCTGTGCCAGGGGAGGGGCAGGTTGGACATCAGCAGGAATTTCTTGCTGGAAAGGGTGGTGAGGCCTTGGCAGGGGCTGCCCAGGGAGGTTTGGAGTCCCCACCCCTGGAGGTGTCCAAGGCAGGCCTGGCCGTGGCACTCAGAGCTCTGGGCTGGGGGACAAGGTGGGGATGGGGCACAGGGTGGGCTCCGTGGTTTTGGAGATACTTTCCAACCTGAGTGACTCTAATCCCCATGGGATGGTGGTGGGATGTGGTGTGGAATCTGTGCTGTGAGGGGTGTCTGACAGCCTAGGGCTGTCCTTTGTCTCTCACGGTGTCCCCCTGTGTCCCCAGGGCCCTCCACGCTGCTCCTCGCTCCAGGCCCCCATCATGCTGCTCTCAGGGCATGAGGGGGAGGTTTATTGCTGCAAGTTCCACCCCAATGGCAACACCTTGGCCTCTGCTGGATTCGACAGGCTCATCTGTGAGTGTCCCTGCTGTCCCTGCTGTTCCCTGGGCTGGGCTGGGCTCCCCAGGCTCAGGACTTGATGCTGAGGGTTTTTAGCTCAGCCCTCACCTGGCTGGTTCCTGTGCATGAAGGGTTTCCCCATGAGAGATCCAGGAAGCTTCTCCCAGGGCTGACCCAGGAGAGGTGCAAGAGGCTTTTCCCAGCTCCTCAATTCCCCAGGAATGCTGCAGGAGGCTTTTTCCATCTCCTATGGCAGGTCACTGTCCCAATGGGGCTGGAAATGCCCTGCTGGGCACAGCCCTGTGTCCCCAGGTCCCTCTCAGGGGTGACAGGGGTCTGCAGAAACACAGATTTTAATGCTTGGGGTTGCTGAAGGGAAGATTATTGCTTTCCTTAATTAATTCACCTTAATCAAGACCCCTAAATCAGCTCAAGCCATCCCTGCCCCGGGGCTCTGACGATGCTTGGTTATTGCTGTGAGTTATCCCAGACTGGAGGCCATGCTGGGGATGGAGCATCCTTTGCTTTGCTGAATTCCCATGCCCAGCAGGGAGCTGTTCCCAGGTTTCCTGTGCTCACCTGTGCCTCCCTCTCCCCCAGTGCTGTGGAATGTCTATGGGGACTGTGACAACTTTGCCACCCTCAAGGGGCACAGCGGGGCCGTCATGGAGCTGCACTACAACACAGATGGCAGGTGGGGACAGGGGGGCTTTGGGCCCTCCTGCTGCTCAGAGACCCCCAGAGAGCCCTCACTGAATGTCAGGGGGAAGGGGCTGGAGCAGCAGGAGCAGCTGAGGGAGCTGGGGGGGGCTCAGCCTGGAGAAAAGGAGGCTCAGGGGGGACCCTCTGGCTCTGCAATCCCTGACAGGAGGGGGGAGCCGGGGGGGGTCGGGCTCTGCTCCCAGGGAACAGGGACAGGAGGAGAGGGAACGGCCTCCAGCTGGGCCAGGGGAGGGGCAGGTTGGACATCAGGAGGAATTTCTTTATGGAAAAGGCTGTCAGACGTTAGAAGGGGCTGCCCAGGGAGGTTTGGAGTCCCCAGCCCTGGAGGTGTCCAAGGAAGGACAGGACATGGCACTCAGTGCTCTGGGCTGGGGGACAAGGTGGGGATGGGGCACAGGGTGGGCTCCACAGGCTGGGAGGTCCTTTCCAACCTCAGTGATCCTGGGATTGTTGCCTTTGCTCAATCCATGGGCAGCAAATCCCTGTAACGTGGCTTTCCTGGATAAGGATTGGTGCCTGCCTGGTTGTGAGCAAAGTCACCTCTGACCCAGCAGTGCCCTCGAGGCAGCCTTGGGGAACAGAGGGAAGTCACTTTTGGGCATCTATGAGACACTGGGGAGGGAGAGAAAACAACTGAGGCGCTGCTTAATCTAAAAGGCTTTTCCACTCTTACATCTGAGCTGTTCCTGCTGAGCGTTCCCGGTGTGCTCATCCCAGAGGGCGTTCAGGGAGGCAGGAAAATGATTTAACAAGAGAGATCCTTCTCCCACCGCTGACTCCCAGCTTTGACCAGTGTCTCTTGCCCCACAGCATGCTCTTCTCAGCCTCCACGGACAAGACCGTGGCCGTGTGGGACAGTGAGACGGGGGAGAGGGTGAAGAGGCTGAAGGGCCACACGTCCTTCGTCAACTCCTGTTACCCCGCCCGCAGGGGCCCCCAGCTCGTCTGCACCGGCAGCGACGACGGCACCGTCAAGGTCAGCGTGTCCTGAGTCACCTGAAATCACAGGGATAAATCTCTGGGCTCTGGGGGTGGAAAGGTAGAAAGCAGTCCTGTTGTTAATTGAGGCCTCGAGGAGCACCCCCCCCACACACAGCACGGGTTTTTCTGAAGAAAGGTGTCCTGTGTCACCTGAAATCAGAGAAATAACCCTGAGCGATCTGAGTGTTAGACAGGTAGGATTTATTATTTATTCAATTAAATAAAGCCTTAGGTTCACAAAGGCTGTGTGCTCCAACCACGCCAGATTTAATTATTTTGAGGGAAGGGACCTTAAAGCTCTGCCACGGGCAGGGACACCTTCCACTAGACCAGGTTCTTGTAGAGGTCTCCTGAGATCTCAAAGGGGATTTCAGGGGAGCAAGCTGAGTCTCTTGTGCATGATTGTGTTGCTAAATATCCATTTTTATGTTAAATGTCCATCCTTCTCCAGCTGTGGGACATCAGGAAAAAAGCAGCTGTGCAGACATTCCAGAACACCTACCAGGTCCTGGCTGTCACCTTCAATGACACCAGCGACCAGATCATCTCTGGAGGCATCGACAACGACATCAAGGTAGGACCCTCTGTGTCCCCCGTGTCCCACTGCCCTCCTCGTCCATCCCTGGGAACCTCCTGGTGAATTTTCCATCCCAAGAGCCCCTGGATGGGCTGTGTCCAACCTCACTATTGACTCTGGGCCAATAAACTGGGCTCCAGGGAGCTGCCACGTGACAGCCTGGGCAGCCCTGACCAGGTGTCCCATGCTGCTGTCACATGGAATGCTGGCTGTCCTGGCTGTCCCAGTGCCACTTGTGAGGTAAACTCAAGAAAATGTGGTGGCACATCCCCTCCCTGCCCTCTGTTCCAGTTTGTCACCTGCTGGGGTGGAAGATTCTTATTTAAGGGCAAGCTTGGGGTTTCATTCTGCTGATTTTCCTGGGGGCTGGAGGGCTCAGCCTGGGTTCCTGTGGCTCCAGCCTTCCCTCAGCACGAGGAGCATGTGGCACAAGCATGAGAGCTGTTCCCACTGCCCCTCTTTGGGAATGAACAGTGGGATTGCCATCAGGCAGTGGGATCTGGGAGCTGGGGGAGCTACAGCAAGATAATGGGGAATTCTGCGTGCACAGGGCTGCTGACGTTTGGTGGTTGAATATATTCAGTTAGAAGTGTTCTAAAAGGCAAGTTTTTTTTCTCCAGCACACAGAAGGTTTCAGCCTCGTGTTTTCATAGAGGCACAGACTGGTTTGGGTGGGAAGGGACCTTAAAGCTCATCTCATTCCACCTCTGCCACGGGCAGGGACACCTTCCATTATCCTGGGTTGCTCCAACCTGGCCTTGGGCATTCCAGGGATGGGGCAGCCACAGCTTCTCTGGGCAACCTGTGCCAGGGCCTGCCCACCCTCACAGGGAAGGATTCCTTCCCAAAATCCCATCTAACCCTGCCCTCTGGCAGTGGGAAGCCATTCCCTCTTGCCCTGCACACACGGGGCTGCCGACAGGCAACTCCTTGCTCAGTTAGAAATCTTCAGGCCCAAATTCCATTTTCCCTCCAACACACACACCCCAAGTTTCAGCCCCATTTGAGTCCTCAGACCCCTCCAGCTGGAATGCCATGCCTGTGGCACCAGCTGATTTGCCAGTGGCTGTGTGAGATGCTCTGGGAGCAGCAGCCCCAGCGCTCTCGGCCGTGTGTTTGTCGTGCAAGGTGTGGGACCTGCGGCAGAACAAGCTCACCTACACCATGAGGGGCCACGCTGACTCGGTGACGGGGCTCAGCCTGAGCTCAGAGGGCTCCTACCTGCTCTCCAACGCCATGGACAACACAGGTACCTCCTGCCTGGGCCCTCAGGAACAGCTCCACTTGTTCATCATCACCAAACAGGAGCCAGGAGTGGGGGTGGGCCGCGGGGAGTTTGGCTCCTGGAGTTGTCCTGCCAGGGAGGGTCATGAACAGCTGAACCCTCAGGAGGGTTTGTCCCAGCTCCTGAAGGCCAGGAATGAAGGGAATAGGGAATGTCTTGGGCAGAGGGGGGGGTTTCCAGGGTCTGGTCCCCCCACCCTCAGCTGATGGCCCTGAGCTCTCTCTCGCAGTTCGCATCTGGGACGTGCGGCCCTTTGCCCCCAAGGAGAGATGTGTGAAGATTTTCCAGGGGAATGTCCATAATTTTGAAAAGGTGAGTGTGCCCCCAACCCAGACATGACTGCCTGATATCTTCCTGCTGTTAAGTTCGCTGTAAATTGTTTTTGAAGTTTAAGTTTAGACCAGAAAGGCTTTAATAGGAACTCAAAAGAAAGATGAATACACAAAGTGGGATTCCAATTAAAGCCTCAATAACAGGATTTCCTTGCTTGGTTCAACTATAATTAGCTGTAAATTAAGTATTTTCTCCATTTACCATCTACTTTGTGTAAAATAACAAGGCTCTGGATGTTTCCAGCAGTAAAATAAGATCTGTAATTACCATCTCATCTTCCAAAGGGAGATCATTAAAGTAGTGCCGGTGCTGCTTAAAGTCTCGTGGTGATTTTAATTCGAGGAGAAGGGGAGAACTAAAGAGATCTCTGCATGTTCTTTTATTTTAGAACCTTCTGAGGTGCTCCTGGTCCCCAGATGGCAGTAAAATTGCAGGGGGGTCAGCTGACAGGTGAGTTGTCACTGTATTCCTCTGTTGCCATCAACCCATAATGGTTTTGCAGCAGCCCCTGGACCATGACCTGAAGGCTCAGAGTTGTGGGGCGGGGGGTGAAGTCCCAAACAACCCTCTGTGAGCTTCCCTGATTCCCACAGGGCTGTGTCTCTGTGGCTCTGGCTCTGTGGAGGAGCATCAGACAATTGTAAAATAATCTCATTGTTGTCAAAAGCTGACTGTGGACCTGCATTCCTGCCATGTCCCACCACAGAATCCGACACCAGGGCCAGCAGGTGACAGGAATAGTGGATGAGATCCCTTGTTTGTCCTGGCAGAAGCTTGGGAGAATCCATGAAGGCAAGGAGAGTGGGAAGTGTGGGCATGTGGGGGTCAGGCTGATAAGCACCACAAATACCAGTGAAATCCCTGCTTGCAGGAGGCACCAGTGGTGTTCCAGGGATCATTCTTGATCCTCCCTTTAATTAAGGAGCAAGAGTAAAGATCAATTAGCACATATTGGACTTGTAAATGAGATATTCTGTAGACTAAAGTCAGCTGAGGAGTGAAAGGGGGCAGGGGGAGGAACCAACACGGGGTCTGTGCCAGGCACTGAAGGTCCCTGTGAAGGTCACCGACCTCCCTGGAGCAAATCCAGGCCCACTGTCAGTGCCATGGAGCCAGGAATTCCTGCAGGCCAGAGGCCAGGGCATGGAGCAGTGGTAATCACCAAATTAATGAGTTCCTGATAGAGGACACGGGAAAACTTCAGCTCCCACTGCCCAGATATAGTGGGGCAGCTGTGCCAGCCAGGGCTGAGACGTGACTCTCCTTCCCAGGGCTCGTGAGGGAGGGATTCCTGCCTGGATTCCTGGGGGCCAGCCTGCCAGGGCCGCAGGGGGCAGGACTTGGGGCCAATTCAGTTGGTTGTGCAGGTGCTGATGGAGCTCAGAGCTCTGACAGCTCCCAGGGCAGGTCAGACGAGGCTGCCCAACCTCCCTGCTATCGCTTCTCATCTTAATTCTTCTTGGAGGAGCATCTGCAGGGAAAGCAAAGCAAGGTTAAACAAACATTTCAGTTATCTGAGTGCAAAACAGTCCCCCAGTAATTATTCTCTCCTCCTGCACTACTTGGAGTACAGCTGGAGTATCTCTGTTGGAGGGACAATTACCTGGATGTTGTGGTTTTTTTTTGCTGTTGAGCCCTTCAGAAGGATTTTAGTAAAATCAACCCTGCCAAATTAAAAACACAGCAGCAGAGTGCTTTGAGAAAGGAACAGACACAGCTCCTGCCTGGTGGATAAGAACAGTGCTTGGAGAAATCCTGATTTCAAGCAGCATTCAAGACTTAGTTTTGCAGTTTCCTGCAAGAAAATCAGTCACAGGACAGCACCAGCTTGCAAAGCTCCTGACAAGGCTGGGTTCTAAATGGTTCAGGGCTTTTTTAGGGGGAAAAGCAGCTCTTGTATTTCAGTTAAAAGCCAGGCTGGTTGTAAATAGCAAATGTTGTTCTTTGTCTGGTCTGCAAAGCCCTGACACGTGGGCAGGAGCAGGGGGGAAACTGAGGAACCCAACAGGAGAGGACCCAGCCTTGGTGCTCAGAGGATGAGGAAAGGGCTGCTGATCCCCAGCAGGTTTGAATGCCTGGGATGCACAGTGACCTTCCCTTGGAGGGGTGACACGGAGTAGATTGATTTTCCATGTATTTACAGGCTGTCCCTGTGCCCTCACCCTCTGCTGTGCCCCGTGAACAGCCCCAGTGATGCCCCCAGGGCATCAACCCAATTACTGCCCTTCCCTGACTGCTGTGCATGCAGAGAGTGTTTGGGAGGGTGTTTGGGCCCCCTCCTCCCCACTCCCACCAGCTGCTTCCCTTCCTGCACTCACCAGGGCTCTGTTGCAGGTTTGTCTACGTGTGGGACACCACGTCCAGAAGGATTCTCTACAAGCTGCCAGGCCATGCTGGCTCTGTGAATGAGCTGGCCTTCCATCCAGAGGAGCCCATCAGTAAGTTCTCCCTACCCCAGCTCAGCTGGGGGGAGTGGTTTCTCCAGCTGGGTCCAGAAAACGGCCCCAAAATTCTTCTGGGTCGCTCTGGTGACGCTTTGTGCCTTGAATTCCACAAAGAACCTTTTCCAGGGGAAGGGTCTGGAAAGTAAATCCAGTGAGGAGCTGCTGGGGGGGCTCAGGGGGGACCTTCTGGCTCTGCAACTCCCTGACAGGAGGGGGGGAGCTGGGAACAAGGGACAGGATGAGAGGAATTGGGTTGGGGCCCAGAGCCCCAATTATCAGACAGATTAAGGGGTCACAGAGGGGTGGTTTTTCCCCTCTCCAGTGTGTTCATATGAGAACAGGGATCACCTGGGAGCATCTGCAGCTTGGGGTCTTCCTAACTCAACCAAAACCTGTAATAGAATCACAAAATCATGGAATGGTTTGGGGTGGAAGGGACCTTAAACTCATCCAGTGCCACCCCCTGCCATGGGCAGGGACACCTTCCACTGTCCCAGGTGGCTCCAACCTGGCCTTAGACACTTCCAGGGATCCAGGGGCAGCCACAGCTTCTCTGGGAATTCCATCCCAGCCCCTCCCCACCCTCCCAGGGAAGGATTTCTCCCCGGTATCCAATCCAAAGGAAGCTCTTTGTGCAGTGGTTTTGGTCCCCCACTCTGAGCTGTCTTACACATGGCACCACATACCAGTTCTGGCCTTTCCTGAGCCATTTTACCCCCCCTGCAGCAGCTGGGACCAGGTGTCATTCCTGTTTCTGGCTCAGCATGTGCTGGGCAGGACCACAGGGGGTTGTGTTTCCATGGAAACACTCACCTTGGCCAGGTCAGTAACCAAAAATTCCCAAAAAGAGCAGTTGGGTGGTGCTGAGACTGCCAGGCTGGGCAGGGAGGGGAGTGGGTTTATTCCTGGTTTTTCCTGGTTATTCCTGGCTCTGTCTGCAGGGCTGAGCTGGAGGAGCAGAGCCAGCTCCAGGGGGGATTGGGGATTGTTTGCTGAGCTCCTCTTTGGGAATCAATCACTCTCCTTCAAATAAGAATTAAAAAACTGTTATTAAAAGCCTACCCAGGCGTTGCAGGGCGAGCTGTGCCATTGATTTCTGTTAACTCTGGGAGCCTTAATCCCATAAATCAGTGCACACATTCCAAGATACCTGCACAGGGGGGAGCACAGGGAGCAGGATGACAGACACCAGGGTGTAAACTTGTGTAGAAACCCCCCAGCTCTCTCCTGGGCACTCTCAGTGTCAAACCAGCCCTTCTGGGTCGTTCCTGTGGCTCTTTGTGTCTTGAATCTCCCAAAGAACCTTTTCCAGGGGAAGGCTCTGGAACATAAATCCGGTGAGGAGGAGCTGGGGGGGGGGCTCAACCTGGAGAAAGGGAGGCTCAGGGGGGACTTTCTGGCTCTGCAACTCTCAGGGAACAAGGGACAGGAGGAGAGGAACGGCTTCAGGTTGCACCAGGGGAGGTTTAGATGGGATATTAGGGGAAAATTCTTCATGGAAATGGCCCGGGAACGCTTCCCTGGCCGGCCTGTGCCCTCTAGTGGCACTGGCAGAGCCCCGAGTGCAGCCTGGACACTCCCGGGGAGGGAAATCCCTCCTCAGGGGCGTGTTTATCCACCTCTTTATCCCTTCACTGCTCAGCCGTCCCTGCCAGCATAACGGGACTCTCCCTCGGGAGGAATTAAACCCCATTCCCTTGGGACAGGGAATGGCAGCCACTTCTCAGGTCAAGTGTCAGAGGAGTCATTCCATGAGGTGTTTTTTGGGGGATAAATGAAATTTGGCTTTCTGGATCGTTTCCATCGGCTCAGTTGGTTAAAGAGTGGTGCCAATAAAGCCAAAAGCACAGGTTTGAGCCCTGTGGGGGCCATTCACTTCCAGCTCAGAATATCCTGTGAACCCTGAAATGGGGAACTCAATGATATTTCATCAGTGGAGGTCTCAAAATGTGCAGTTTAATTTATATTCCTCCCTTTTTTTCTCTGTCTCCCCTCAGTTCTCTCTGCATCCAGTGACAAAAGGCTCTACATGGGGGAGATCCAGTGAAGCCAGTGGTGGGATCCCTGGATTCCAGCAGTGGGATGAACTCTCTCCCCCTCGACTCGTGGCACTGGGGAACATTGCAGCACCTCAGTGTGACAACCCGCCCTGGGCAGGTCTTAAAGTCTCACTGGGCAGCTTTTTCCACCTCCTCTTTCTTTGGGGAGGGAGGAAAACTTGGAATTGAAAGGAATTTAGTTTTGACTGTGCCACTGATGATTTAACCCTCACCCAGATCCCTTGGATTAGGTACCTTTTGTTTGAAGCCCAGACACGGCCTGGTTATTCCCTGTCCAGTTCCCCTTGTGTTTTTTTTATACAGTTAAAACTGCAATAAATGGCTTTTTACAGAGCTGTGGGGCTGGGATTTAATGCTCAGCTTGCTTTTCTGTTCCACAACACTGAATCAAGGCTCTCACCCATAACCAGCCCAGGGAAACCAGAGAGGTTAACTCATGGAATCATGGAATGGTTTGGATGGGAAGGGACCTCAAAGATTATCCAGTTCCACCCCTGCCATGAGCAGGGACACCTTCCACTGTCCCAGGTTGCTCCAGCCTGGCCTTGGACACTTCCAGGGATCCAGGGGCAGCCACAGCTTCTCTGGGCAACCTGTGCCAGGGCCTGCCCACCCTCTCAGGGAAGGATTTCTTCCCAATATCCCATCTAGGCAGACATTCCCCCTTGTCTGTCCCTGTAAAAAGTCCCTCTCTCAAATCCAGGGAAGATCAGGGTGTGTCTGGTCCCTGTCAGCTCCCAACATCCATCTCCCATCATTGCCCTGACTCCCAATGGGAATGGGAGGTCCCATGGGACCATGGGAATGACTCCAGCAGGCCTGGGTCTGGGTGGTTGTCCCTGGATCCCTGTGGTGTCCTGGTGTCACTGCCCTTGGTGGGAGCCGTTTGGAAGTTGCTGTTTAGGCATCACCAGATCCCAGAGGATGAGGAGCTCTGGGCAGACTCACCCCTGGCCCTGGAGGGCCCGGCAGAGCTGGAGGCACAGGGGGATTAATTTTTAACTGCAGAGGGTGAAATGATGTGCCCTGGGGCTCGGGAAAGGAGAGCTGGCACTCCAGCCAGGAATGCCCGGATTCCAGAGGGACTCCAGAGCCACTGGAGCAGGAGCTCTGCCCCCAGGGATGAGCCCTCCTGAGGTTAGAGCCTCTTGAAATGCGCAGGGTTTGTGGGTGTATTGGGATCTGTATCCAAGCTGGGAACACCACCCTGTGTTTATTGAGTCCTGCTCCTTCAAAGGAAAAAAAAAAGGGGGAATTTCCCTAATTCCCACCCCAGGAACCTGCAGGGAAATGAGAGTGGGGAGTCTCTCCCTTCCCAGGGGCCTGGGAGTCCCAAAGCCTGGGGATCCCCTGCAGGATTCCCAGCAGCTCCCTGTGGGGAGCTGGAGGGATCCACAGCACCCCCTGGATGGATCCAGACACCCCTCCATGGCCTGGGCATGGCTGGACATGGAGCCATGACCCAGATTGGGGAAATGATCCGGATTAAAGGCAAATCCCCCGGGAGCAGCCGGGTGGATGGAGCCAGGCCCAGGGCACCTCCCTGCCCGTGCCCCTGAGCGCTGGCAAACTCCCCCCAGCAGTGGGCACCCAGCACAGGATCCCCACGCCCTCCCAGGGCTGTGACAGAAATCCCTGTTCCCCAGTGCCAGGGAACTTGGGGCAGGGAATGAACGCTCGATCCCAACGCAGGCTGAGGAGGGAGACACGGATGGGGCAGCTCAGAGGTGCTGATGATGATTACTGCCTGCAATTAGGGCGGGAGTGGTGCCCTCCTGGCTACTCTGGGGAAGGGCTGGACCATGTGCCAGTGTCCCAGACCCTGGGAGAGCTGGAAGCTGGTTTGGGGAAAGCACCTGCTTGTTTCCAGTGGCTGGAATTCACCATGGGGGGCTGGAATACACTATTCCCCCCCCCCTTAATTTCCAGCTCCACCTAGGGGGCAGAGGCCCCTCTTGGCTCCCACCCCATGCCAGCCCTGGGCCATGGCAGCAGCAAAGCGTTCCAGGCTTCATCTGAGCACAGAGAAAATCGTTCCCTCAAACAGGTTTATTCCTCCAAGGGAGGTGTTTGCTCGAGGGGTTTCCACTGGAAATTAAATCTTTCCTGGGATCTGGATGAGCAGCCCCCTGTTCCAGAGAGCTGAGCTGGCTGGGAGGGCTTCTGGCTGAGGGCACTGGGAACCCCAACATGGCCCTGTGGGGCTGTGCCCATCCCAGTCCCAGCCCTTGACCCTTTGGCAGTGCCAGTATCCACAAGCAATCCCAGGTGGAAAAGGCCCCGGGCGCAGTGGGATGGATCCAGCACTGGGTGCTGGTAACCCCGTACTGGGATCAGTGGGGACATCCCAGGAGGTCCCAGGCCCTGACACCCCTTCCCAGTCCCTCCCTGTCCTTCCTCCAGCATTTTCCCACTTTTTCCCTGCTTCCTCCACCTTTTCCCAGTGCTGCTCTGAGGCACCTCGTGCATTTGGAGAGTTACAATGGGCGGGTGATAATTCCTGAAAGAATGGAAAACAATTATTTGCTCTGTTGGGGAATAGATGATATTTAGTCTCCATTTAATGGAAAACTAATTAAATTACATGAGCAAGTGAATAGGAATTTTTTTGTTAATTATGAATTTTGCCAGCTACAAAGGCGAAATGGTGATGGATCCTGTGATGTGCTGAGCTCCTCAGCAGCACGAGAGATAAGATGACAACGGAGGAAGGAACAGTGTGAATGCATTTTAATTCCTCCATCGATTCGCTCACAGCCAACTGAACCTGATCCATTAACAGGGATTCATGGAGCTGACATTGACTGGCAGCTGGTGGCTAATTATGTTAAAATCGGGGAAAGGCTGGTTAAATAAACATGGGGTTTCTTCCTGGAGCGCCTGGGGGTGTCATGGGATCACAGAATCACCCAGTGGTGGGGGTGGAAGGGACCTTACAGCTCATCTTGTCCAGCCCCTGCCCTGGGCAGGGACACCTCCCACTAGCCCAGGTTGCTCCAGCCTGGCCTTGGACGCTTCCAGGGGGTTCAGTTCCAAGTCAGTTCCGTTTGGTTTGTCCTGGAAAGGCAAGCAGGGCTCGGGCTCGAGGCCAGGGGTGCAGGTGGTGGGTGAGGGGGAGTGTCCAGCACCCCCAGCATGAGACCCATCCCAGGTTTGGGGTCCCCATCACAGAGAGCATCCTCGATCCTGGGGATGGAGCATCCCTGATCCCAGGTCAGGGACATCTCCACACCCAGGGCTGGGGCATCCTTGACCCCAAGCTGGGCTGATCCTGACCCCAGAGCTGGGGTATCCCTTGGCCCAAGGATGGAGCATCTTTGACCCCAGTTCCAGGGCACCTGGAGCACCTGAGCCCAGGAATTGGCACATTCCTGGCACCAAGCTGGAGTGTCCCTTCCCCCAGAGCCAGAACATCCTTTACCCCAGGGATGGAGCATTCCTGACCCCAGTTCCAGGGCTCTTGTGACCCCAGGGATGGAGAATTCCTGACCATAGTTCCAGATATTTGTGACATCAGGGATGGAGAATTCCTGACCCCAGTTCCAAGGCACCTGTGACCCCAGGGGTGGGGCATTCCTGACCCCAAGCTGGGCTGATCCTGACCCCAGGGCTAGAGCACCCCTAGACCCAGACCTGGAGCACCCCTGATCCTGGGATGTCCCTGTCCTGAGGCTGTTCCATCCCATCCCATCCCAGAGGAGCCACGTCCATCCCCACCACCTGCCCCACCACGAGGAGCGGGGCTGAGCCTCAGGGCTCATTAATGAGGGACTAATTAGCATGTGTATCCTGGCTCTCCATCCCAAATCCAGCTTTTGACCACAAACCCCATTCCCACCCCCCCCCCATTTCCCCCATTAAGGGAAATTACCCACCTGACTTAATTACCCTGGGCCTGTGTCAGTGATTTGCACGTGTTTACCCCACACACTGGAATAAATATCTATTCCCAGGGATAGATGGGGACCCTTGGGTGATTTCTTTCCCAATAAACATGCCCAAAATCCTCATTTTGCCTTGTTCTGGTGACTTAGTGCCATTAATTAGCTCACCTGAGCAGATGAACAATGATCTCCAGCCCCTTGACTTTACCTCCACAGCATCTCCCGTGGCCTCTCCCAGGGACATCCCTGGGCATGGATTGGGTACAAATTTGCCCCCTATTTCCATGTGTTCTGTTCATACTCTCTGGCATAAAGATTCAGGTGGATTTTTTAAACAAAACACCCTATTTTGTTGTGTGTGTGTGGGGGGGAGTGGGGTGGTCTGAAGTGGCAAAGGACAAAATGCTGGGCTCATTTCCCACCCTCTCACAGATGAAATTGTCTCCTCACCAGGAGGAGACAAAAGCGCCAGGATGTGCTTTACTGACCTTTTTTTTTTTTATAATCTAAAATTGTTTCCTTGCAAAAGTCCACCTGGTTGAGAGCCAGAAGGGATCTCAGCACCATTTAAAGGCGGGTTTATGGTTTTCCATGAGGACATTTTGCCTTGCTCTGGTGGTTTTTTTTGGAGCTGAAGGGAGGGCTGAGGGGGTTTGCCCAGCCATGGCCAAGGAGATGCTTTGGGGTGGTTGGGTGGTCGTGTTTTTTTGATCTGTGGGGTGAAACCAATCCATCTGCTCCAGGACTGTGCTGGAACCCCAGAAGGGCCCACGAGCTCAGACCTGGAGGTGGGTCTGTACCTGGACAACCTTCATGAGCCTGGGACACCTCTCCCCGTGGGATGAGGGTGATGGGGCCTCTCTCAGGTGAAGGTCTGGAGATGATGGAGCCAGGAGGACTGAGGGGAATGGAATCAATCCAACAGTGGGGACATTCCAGGTGGGCCAGGTCCACAGGTGGGATCCTTGGTGGCCTCCACAGTGAGGTGTGGGAATACACAGGGCTGGTGGAGGTCACTGAACCAGACCAGTGTGGAGAAAACACAGGTTGCCCTGCTTCAAACATCCAGCTTGGCTCCAGCTCCTGCTCCCAGGACTCCAGTTCAGAGCATCCCCTGGGGAACCCACTGCATTTTTGAACGGGTTTTGAACCCACCGAAGCTTTTTCTGCAAAGCCCCATCCTTCAACCACATGCTTCCTAAAATGCTCCTGGGAGCATAGAACAGCCAGGAGGGAGGGAAATCCCCACCCCGGAGGGTGAAGGAGAAGCTCCAGGTGTGGTGGGTGCTGCAGTCCCAGCAGTGGGATGTGAGGGCTGGCTGGGCCCTGCAAAGCTCAGAGAGGTTGGACCATGCACACAAATGGATCTGTGCAGCTGCATCCCTCAGATCCCTCGCTCTGACACCTAAGGCCGTGTGGGGTTGGTTTAGGAGATGCTTCCTTCTAAGC